GTCACTCTATCCCTCCCTGCTTTCACCACTATATTAACACTGCTCTGGCCTCCCTTCAACATCTTGAACCTATATTTAATCTGTTCATTTTTGTCCTCTGCCTTCTAATATCTTGCCCATTTACCACGTACCTCTTTCCAAATCCCTGGCTGCTTTGTCAGTCTTGCTGCTGTGACGATGAATGCTAACAAAGTCACAAGACCATACTGGCTTGGTTCTACAAATTTATATTTCAACTAGCCCTTCACTCTTCCCTAACTGCCACTTTATCAAATTGCTCAGAGCATCAGTTACAAATCATCTCTTCTCTCAAGCCACATGTAATCCTTTCCCTCTCTCTTTGAGCGGTGGGTTTTGTATCATACTTGGTCAAGAAAACTGAAGACATGTTCCCTATTCTCCCCAATTCTGCACCTCAATTCACTCAACATCTTCCCCAAGTTTTTCTTGAAGAGATTGCTCTTTTTAGCAAGGCCAAACCCTTTACTTTTACCCTTCATTGCATCCCCTCCCATCTCAGAGCTGCCCTTTTGTTTACTGATGCTAGGCGCCACCGACAGTTTCTTTAATCACTAAGTCCTTTCTTTTTTCCTACTAAATTTCCAGATTGTCCCCATCCTTAAAGTCACTTGACCCTATCTATCATCTCTAAGGTTGTCCTATCTCTCTTTTTCTGCACAACTGAATTTCTAGAAAAAGTCACCTTGAACATAGTAGGTGTTTAATGTTAATTAAACTGAAATGTGTCCTATTTACAGATAAACACAAAGGAAAAAAAACCTGCAAAATAATTTGGTTGAAAAACCATTGATTAAGGAACTAAAAACTTTGGAGAGAGGAGTTTCGGTTATTTGGTCAGGTTAGAAACCCCCAAATGGCAAATAGTTAAAAGGTGATGAGTAGCTGAGGAATTAGAAGCAAGCAATGTAGATAGATTTTTTTTTTCCCCCTTTGGATGGCATTTTCATTTCTTGTTTTGTTTTTCAGTAGTATCTGATTCTTCTAGACGCCATCTGGGGTTTTCTTGGCAAAGATACAGTAGTGGTTTGCCATTTCCTTTTCAGCTCATTTTACAGATGAGGAACTGAGGCAAACAGGGTTAAAGTGACCTCCAAAGGGCCACAGAGCTAGTAATTGTCTGAGGCCAGATTTGAGCTCAAGAAGATGAGTCTTCCTGACTGCCCTAGCTGCCCTCTGTATGATATGGTCAAGGTCAAATAGGCATTAAATGCAGGGCTACTTCGAAAAGCTTCAAGTAGAGCATAGTGATGTCTATGTCTGTTATTCAAAGACAAGTCTAGATAAATTTGGGAAGGCTAATCTCTGGAATGCTAGTCACCAAGTGATGAATTCTTTAAGCCATAACACTCATAAAGATTGCCATGGAGGGGCTGTGACATGGACTGGCAAAAGAAGTCGCTAAATCAATGAAATCATATATATTTAAAGTATTTAACCATGAAATGAAGGCTAAATAGATAGCATAGCTGACACAGTCAGCCTTAGAGTCAAGAAGACCTAGGGCCAAATCTTACCTCTGACTCAACTCATAATAGCAATGCGATTTTGGCTAAGTCACACTCTTAGTGCTCCCATGCAACTCTCAGACTATAAACTGCAGAAAAGTTGCTGATCTTGATTGGTAGAGGGAGTTTCTTCACCTGGAGTTGTTAATTTGTTCCAGACCAAAAAGACTAGAAACCACTGATACTATTCAATCATAATTTCTATCAACATAAAGTGTATAACAAATTTACTCAGAAGTAAGATTAATGATTGTTATTTGTTCAGTTATTGAAAGTGATTTAAAAAAATTGAAAAATGAAATGTTGGCAAAGTGAATTTTAAGGGTTATTTTTTCATAGATGATTATGATACACTGAAAGGTCAAACTGTAAGGCCAGTTTATGTACAGATTAAGACTGCTCTAAGACTACAAAATACTTAATGTTGGTAGAGTAATAATATGCACTTATTATTAGAGGGACTTTCTTGACTGGAAATTAACTAGAACCATAATTTCACAGGTCAGATTACCAAAACAAACAATAACTAAGATTTCACTTTTTTTTTTCTAGAATTAAGAATTGGATTCGGAGTCATGAGGTCATGAGGCCTATGGGAAGTCCTAGCTCTCCTATATGACTTCAGTTTAGTCATATATAAAATGTACTAGATTATCTTTAATTTACCTTCTAGTTTGATTTCAAAAGATTCTTATGATCTTTTGAAATCTGCATATCTTTAAATTCTTGAATGCATTTCTTCTTCCTTTTGAGGACTACTTAACTTTAAAACTAATTCAATCTTCTCCATGAAAGTGGCAAGTTACCATGGTTACAGAGTGAAGAATGTTACTGAAAAGCAATAAAAGATACACTAATGACATTTTAAATGACAGATTTGAAGATATTAGGAAATTGCCCCAACAGGGAACCAGAAACCTAACAAACTTCCAATTATAGCAAATCATAATATCATAATATGGTAAATCATCATCCTAGTGTCTAGGTCAGAAGTAATTGATGTCTATTTAGACTTGCTATGCTTGTCCCAAAAGGTTTTCTGTTTCAAATATAGCTAATGAGCAAGATTCTAATAAAAGATGCAAGTTGCCCATCTACATATATCTGAGAGTATTTCACAAATGCACTGAGAAATTAAAACATGCCTATGACATACATCATATGAGAATTTGTGTGGTACCTCAGAACAATGTCTACACATGGCATCCCAATGTTTTATGGTATATTCCCCTTCACAAAAAAACAAGATGTAAACTGACATGCCTCTTCATACTAAAATGTCCACTAATAAAAGTGCACAGTCAAGCCTTTTTCAAGAAAAAGCAATGTCTACCACAATGATTAAAGATTAAACTTTCTTCGATAATTATGAACAGCATAAAAATATCTCACACAGTTCCTAACATATGTAGATTTAATTAAATTATGATCAAAGCAGGAAAAAATATCACACGGCAAAGCTGGAACAATTTTATGCAGCATGCTTAACAAAAGATGGGTGTAGTATTTCTAGCCTAAAAATGGTATTATTTCAGTATTTTAAAAGCAGAAAACTGATTTAAAGAGGAATTTCAAAATGGTATGAAAATAAATGCATAACAATTAAAGACAAATAATTCAGTTGCTTTGTTTCCTACTGTCTCCTTGTAATTGAGTTCATGCCTGACAAAAACATCATAAAACCAGATTTTAAAAAATTGTATGAGTGAATTCATATAAACCAAAGCAAAAGTTTTTGCTACCAAATTCCTTAGCATTGTTAAATGATTTGACATTAGAAACATATAATTTTATCAGTACAAATGACATTAAAGATGCATTATTAACCTGCTTTGCTACCACACCTTAAGGACCATAGGACTTTTCCATCTGGTTTGCAGCTGAAACCTATCTATATTGTTTTTTTCATTAGAAGGTGATATCCTTAAGAGCAGAGACTGTCTTAACTTTTCTATTTGTAACTCTAGTGCTTAGCATGGTGCTTTGCACATAGTAAGTGCTTAATAAATGCTTTAATCATTCAAAAGTGTGTGATGTAAGAAAGAACTTAGTCAAAAAATGTATTTTCTGAACAACACATGAATGGGCACTTCAGATTTGATCCATGTTTACTAAGCTAATTAAGAATTATCTAGTTCATTGTTCTTAGTGGTACTATAACAATTCACAGCTCATAGGGAATGGAAACACCTCACATTTGTCCCACTGACTGAACACCAGAAATGTAAGCAGATCACTAGAAGGATTGGCTGACAGGATTTTCTACATCTAAAAGCCTATGACAATGGAGTCTATGATGTTCTAGGAACCTCCAGAATTGCTTGGGAATTTGGAGCAAGAAAAGATTTAGATTGCAAGAAAAGATTTAGATTTTAGAAAAAAAGAGATTTGTCTTCTAAGCAATCTCTCTAGAAACTCCTCTGGCTTTGTCCTAATGTTCAGATGACATGTTTCTAAACCAGTAGCAATCAAGGCAATTATTACCAGTTGCAAAACTTACTAAAAAGGCCCTTACTTTTAAAAATCTATAAGCTTTATATACTTTCCTGAATCTTGCTCCTGCTATTTAGCCATCCCTGGCTGTTTATATTTGAGCCTCTAAGTTCTGTTGCTGAAGCGTGGAGGCCAGGGCAGTTCAATGTAGATGATGTTAGATAGAGGATCTATCGGCAATATGGTTTTAGTTGAGAAACAACTGAAATGACATTTATGGAGGAAAAAGAAGGAACAAGTCAGTTTCAGGGTGACCTCTGGAATTTCCATTAGTTTCCTCTTCCCTTAGGCTCCTCACCTGATCCCATACCTTAACTCAAACTAACTCAACAATCCATCAGAAATGGAACCAGTCCTCAGAGTTTTTCCCCTTGGTTTTACAGGCCCTCTCTTGTGATTATAGGTCTCAATTCCTGTGCTGCACAACTATACTGAGTTCTTAAGAGTCACTCTTGAAAGGACCAGTTCATTCTGAAAGAGTATTCTTTGAGCTAAACTGAGCGAGCACTCTACTTATGAGGGCAGGTGGACAGGAGGACATTGTACTACAGACACAGTATAGTTCACATGAGTATTGTGCTACTACAATTTCCTCGGGGGGCTAAAATATTCCTTCTTCATTTTTAACAATCCATTGCCTGTTCTAGAATATAGAATCACAGGATCAAAATCGTGAGCTGGAAGGGAACTTACTCATTTTCAAATCAAATTTTATAGATGAGGAAAGTGAGGTCCAGAGAGGATAAGTGACATGCCTAGTGTCATACGCTAGTAAGAATTTGAAGTGGGATTCAAACCATGTTTCCTAAAATGCGGTAAGTATTCATTTTTATAAAACATTAGTGTTCTTTAAAAATGCCTATCATTTGAGTGTGCTCTTTTTAATGATATTTACAAGTCCTAATTTTAAAAAAGATATTTTGTTCTCTTTACTGTTGACAAAGAAAACTTTGACAGATGTTGGAATTTTTCAGGTTTAATTAGAATTTATTTCAGAAGTCCTTCAAGTTTTGTTCTGCATAATAAACTTTAAGGATTCTATTCAAACCAATTTTCTTTTAGTAAAAACTTCGTAGCATCATCAAATCCATTTTGATACAATGATTCCATTCTCCTCTGGCTTGGTGGGAAAAGAGCTTGATTTAGTCTTACCAGATTGGCCACAGACAACTATAATGAAAAGAAACAAATTTTGAGATATAAGACACACTGAAGGCAGCTATGAATGTCAGTCCCAACTCGCTTACTACATATTAATTTAATAACAAAAATGCAGAATCCATAATAAAAATAATACACTCCAATCTAATATTTTCCATATTAATACTCATAAGGATTTTTATTTGATCTTACATATTTATATACTTTATTATCACAATCATTTTAAACAAAGGACCTAATTCAAAACTGATTCTGAAACTGGCCTCAAAAAATGGGGAGAAATTAAAAAACATTCTAAATGAAAGGATAATAAGGTTTATTAGGATAATGTTCAAAGTGCCTAAGTAGAGAATATTTAGTACTTTTTATTCTGCTTGCTATAAAGTAAATATTTTGAAGCAATATATAAATTATTTATTTAACATATGCAAAACATAAACATTTTCTAAAATTAAAAATGGTTATAAAGGTTGTTAAATTTAGTGCATATTCCTGGGAGAATTAATCATTCAAATTCTCTGAATTACTAAAAAAGTTGCTTACCATGATATCTTGATTTGCAATATTAACATATAGATCCAACTGTCCTTTGTCTTCTGGGGAGATATCTAATCGACCACTAAAAGGTGAAACAGTCACTGTTCGCCCCATAGGCAGGATAGGAAGGCCATTGGTAAGCCCTCCATCAACCCATTTCTATTAAAAAAAAGTATCCATTTCAATTGCACAGCAACTTCATACCACATAGAGTAAACATGCAATGACTTCTTAAAAAGAAATTTTCAACCAAATAAAATGCAGTTTTAGAATATCATTTATGGGGGCAGCAGGTGGAGCATAGAGCACCGGCCCTGGAGTCAAGAGGACCTGAGTTCAAATCTGGCCTCAAACACATAACACTCACCAGCTGTGTGATATATATATATATATATACGTGTGTGTGTATATATACATATGTATATATATACACACACACATATATATGTATATATATACACATACATACACACACATATATACAATTTATATTTAAGTCAGAATTAATCTAGTTTGGGATATATTTCAGAAAGTAAAAAAAAAATCCTACATAAACATGACTTCACCATAATAAAAAAAAATCCAGATAGAGTTAGGATTTAGGGATGGAAATAGAGAATGGACTTGTGATTTTTGTGACAGAGGAACTCCCTATATGCAGTCAGTTATGTCAGAGAACATAAACCCAGGTCTTTTTTTTCTGAGATCAGTTCTCTATCCACTTTGCTATCCTGACTCTCAAGTTGGGAAATATATCATAAAATTCCAAAAATTTCAATTTGATCATACTCGGAAATACTTGTCTAAATTTTAATTTACTTTATTATATAGACTTCTTTGGGGACTTAATATTATTTTATCAAAGTTGAGTGACAGCATTACCTAATACTGGACAAAACAGCTACCATGAGAGGAGATATTATTCTGTGTGTGTATGTGTATACACTTATAAATATGTATATAGAGAGACCTGAAATTAGCAATTTCTACAACAAAATTATAAACCAATAGGAAAAAAGAGAAAAATGTTTCTTTGGACATTTCTGAATACATGAAGAAATAGGTATGTTGTTAAAATGACATGAAAATGAACATATTGCTAAGACAACCAGAACTCCTCATGAGAGTTTCTCAGTTTTCAACACCACTCCCAAATAATAAAATGAGACATGAAAAAGAACAGAGAACTATGTTGGAGAAAGAAATAAGAAAGTCAGAAACATAGAAAGAGAAAAGAATACAATACTTCCCCTGGCCTTGGTCTCAATTTTCCATGACATACACCCATTTCTAGAATATGGCAGGGAAAATACGTAACTCACATTCAGAGATACACTAGCAATAGAAACAAAAAGGCAATGCTTCTCAGGTATTGACAAAGTTATAATTTAATTCTCATTCTAGGTATTATATTCATTCTGCTGACTTCAGAGATAGCATGTTTTCAATTATCAAAAGTTATAGGAGTCATTAGAAATTTTCATCAGGCGATTCACCACAGAAATTATTGAGAACCTCAGTCATCTTTAATTATAAAAATTATTTTTAAAATTTTTTTTCCCCTAATAACATGCAAAAACCAATTTTTAACATTCATTTTTTAAATGCTGGGTTCCAAATTCTCTTCCTCCCTTTCACCCTCTTCCTCCCCCTCCAAGACAGTAGGTGATTTGATATAGGTTATATATGTATTAATAATTTTCACTAATACATTTCTGGTTTGATGTATGATAATCCAGCATGATAGTAGAAGATGGAGTGCAGGTTAGTAAAAAACCCCAGCTAACTAGGAATTGATTTATCTTGATTCTTAGAATGGGCATCCTCTTATGGCTTTCAAAGTTCTCCTAAGCAGGACAAAAGTACAATATAGCACTGTGAGCTTTATTTTATTGAATTATCAAGAATAGTAAATAAAAGCCCTAAATAATTGACATGACTACTATATTCAGACTAGTTTCAGAGTCCATGTAGAGTATTATATTAGGGGAATATATAAAACTTACTTTTCTAGAGCTTTTCCATGGACAAAGTACCAACTTTTATTGTAACTAAACTCAGCAGAAGTATGACTATAATTAAATAGTCACAAATTTCCTTCACAAAGACCATTCCCTGAAGGAACATATATAAAAAAAATACGTTTGCATTTTCTACCTACCTTCCAGGTACAGCCTAGCCAATCAGGAAACAAGCATAGTAGACTAGGCCAGAGGGGCTAATACAAAAAGTCAAATGAGTTTGGTGTCTTAAGAGGACTAAATTTTCCCCTTAGACTACTAAGCAGAACTCATACATATTCATCATTAATCAAATTTAACGTGCATTAAAAAAAAAAAACCTGTCTTGGCAATTGTTTGATAGGGAAACAGAAATTCTTCATTATCTCCTAGTTGTCACTTGTGGGGTAGAGGCCATTCTGTATCAAAATCCCAGCAACATCACAGCTTTAAAAACTGGTCAAAATATATCTCATGCTGAAGGTCCAGAATTACGTTTTTTTTTTTTTTTAAGTACAAAGAAAAAGACTGGCAGTGAATTTGGTTAAGGCTGAAGTAGAAATATTTTGCCCCTTCAAATCACTAAACTGATCTGTGATTTGAAATCATAGGATAATATATTTAATGATGCATTAGTCTCAAGACTACCCTATTTTGTGGATGAGGAAACTAAGCAAGGTAAAGTATCATTTTCTTATAGCACAAGTTTAACCATGTCAGTCCCCTACTCAAACTATAATGGTTCTCAATCACCTCTAGAATCAAATATGTAGTCCTCCAGTTGCCTTTCACAAAAGCCTTTCACCCAGTCTACCTTTTGAATCTTATTATACATTATTTCCTTTCATATAAACCACAGTCTGACCAAACCAGCTTTACTGTTCTTTAAACACAATACTTCATGTACTATCTTTGTGGCTTTGCACTTGCTGTTACCAATTCCTGGAATGTGTGTTCTCATCTCTTCCGTCTCATAATCCCTGGTTTCTTCAAGACTCAGCTCAAGTGTTACCTTCTATATGAAGCCACTCATGATTCCCCCAGCTGCTAGTGCCTTCCCTTCAAAAATCACCTTATATCTACTGTCTATATATGTATTGTGTATGTGTTATATATTTATGCATATGCATAGGTAACACAGAGGCATAGTGTAGTTATGTGTGTGTAGCATGTTACATATATATACACAAACACACACATATGAATGCAAAGGAAATGTTTCACTTTTGTCTTTATAAATCTAATGCTTATAAATTAATAAATTTAACAAAATTATATTAACTTAATACATGCTTATTGAATGATCAAATGATGCCTAAGGTCATAAATAAGAAATTATAGGGTCAGAATTTAGTATGTAAATTTTTCTAACTTTTGAAATGATCTGTGACTACTGTATAGATACAGACTAAAAATATATGAAAATATTGCAAAAGCAAGCCCCACAAGATCTGGTCCAAACTTGTAATTGTCTTTTCAATCTGCTTACTAAACTGTAATACCAATGGCATGGTGCGTGCCAAGAAAAAGGCTCTGAAAGTAACACATTTGATATTCAGAGTAGAACTTGTCAATATTAATGCAAAAAGTGGCTTTCATCAAAGAAAAAGAAAGAAGACCTCATATTATACTTTTAAATTATATTATATTTAACTTATTCAACTTAATTAAAATACAGGTGATCATGTTCATTAAATAGAAAAGCACTCCAATTTATTAGAAGTTAAGAAGCTAATGGCTGCTATCATGAGAAATTGGTGCATCTATTAAACTGTGTCTCCTAACACTTGGTATTATTTGTAAGTAGTATTCTAACTTTTATTATTATTGTTATATTATTATATGATTAAGGGAAATATATAGTTAATAGATTTTAATAAATTAAATGCATAATGTTTACCCACAACCTATGCTACAATAATCCTTAGTGGTCTAACAGAATGAAATAGGCATATCCATCATAATTATAGAGACTTACAAAATTGCTGGGTGTAATAATTTATAAATTGAAAAATTAAATTTAAGAAAATTTTAAAACTCATCACTTATACTCTAAGTTCATAGTTTAAAGCTTTTTGCTAATTTTTATCTACAAGAGGGCTGACAATAGTGTAAAACTATTAATTATTTCTATATAACATTCCCACACATTATCAACAAGGACAATATTCCACAGCTTTACATCCTGATGTGCATCTATGTTTCTAAAACTTGACTATTCAATATGACTCCATTAAATTTACCTCCTTTAGAATTTTTTAAAACGTTAGCAATTATTCCACAACTACCAAGTGTGTATGTGTCAAAGTAAAAGAATACTATATTTCATATGTAGCTCTTTGGTTAGCAGCATTGTGGGTCATCAATGAGCATCACTATTTTTGTACTTTTCTAGAAGTATTAGTATAACTCAAAAACATTCTATATTAAATTAGACTGCCCACGAAGACAGCATTGGTACTAAAAAGGTGTACTTCTCTGGCTCTGAAAAGAGGTTTTTCAAGGCCACAAAAATTTTTCAAGAACTACTTAATAAAGAAAAATAAACTAATAATTATCTCATATTTGTCATTTTGGTGTATATTTATTTTGCTGAAATTTTTGATATGTCATGTGATTAAAGAAAAACTATTTTAAAATGTCCTAAAGAGAGACTGCTGCTTAGCACCTATGTGACTGTTACTACTATCTAAATATATCTATAAGCACTAACTATATTATGAAGCTATATTAATAATAGTTCACATTTTGTAGCACTTCCAGGTTTACAACATGCTTTCCTCATAACAGACCAATGAAGTAGATTTTTTAACTATTATTATCCTTAAATTTCAGATGAAAAAACTAAGAGACTTGTCCCAAATCACATAGCAAGGAAATAAATGTTGGAAGTAGGACTTGAACCCAACACTTCTGCTTCTAACTCTTGTTCTTACACTATGGCACACTACTACACTTCAGTTTTAGTAAAGTCAAAACACATATATGTATGTAATTTAAATATAAAAATGTCTAGTGTTTACTTTATGCAGCTACTATGAGTACCTTTACAATCTTATTTCATGTCTTAACATCTTATGACTGGCAATACTGATAATTCAGAGGATAAAAAACAAAATAAATTTTGTGGTTTCCTTTATCAGAAAATTTTGTTTGATC